AAATAGAGAAATGCATTTAAAAAGATATAAATAATTATATACTATAATTATTTTTTTTGTTGATTGGATAATATGAGTCCCAATGAAAGAAATATATCGTCTGTTTTGATTAATAAGAGAACAGAGTCTTGAATAAAAATAGCGAATGAAGGAAATTCTGGAATAACCTTAAAGTAATTTTTTTGAGTATATTAATTTCAAAATTTTGTGAAACTTAAATTAGTCAATAGTCTCATAAATCATATACACCATTCTCTTCTTACTTATAGCTGCCAGCATACAGATAAGAGCAGCTGAGGTCTTAAATCTGATTCGGTGAGTCCAGATATTTGTTTGATTGATTGTGAGCGATGTTGACGTAATTGAGTCTAAAATGATGGAAATAGAAATTATGTGGCATAGAGAGAGTGGGGCAGGGCGTATGAAATAGTAACCGGGCGAGATCTTGGCTTGGGCCTAGCCGCGCTGCCCGAATTACCTTTTTGATTTTATGACCCAAACAATTCGATTGCAGGCAGCGACAGTGCCCAGGGAACATTATTGTAACATAAAGTGGCCATGCTTCGTGCTCCACTCTGCAATCCACTCGGCCAACGGGAACGGCAACGGCAACGGCAACGGCAACGATAATAGCAGTCAGTGTGCAGGGCGTTAAAATGTCCAGCAGGCGAGTCGGGGCGGTATTAAAAATGGCAATAAATAAAGTAAAGTACGGCGAGTACATGATTTCCCTGTTAAGATGCCACCCAGGACGAGGAGGGCGAGAAGGACGACGACAACGAGGCAACGCGCGAGTGCGAATCACAATGATGTGGGGCGTGGCTGGGGACAGTGTCCAAGCGGGTCCAATTGTGGTAAATCGGAAGTTAAAGATGGCAATAAAATGACGCAATAAAAATCTATGAATGACACATTAAATCAATTGCCAAAAATCACAAAATCGCTGAAAAAGTCGCCGATGAGTGGATTTATATCGCCGAACGCCCCTCGGCTGCTGGCCAATCCTGAATTCATTTCAAAAGATATTAAGTGAATTTTTACGGCCGTGAGAAATTGGACAACTGAGCTAATTGCCAATTGCCGACCGTCGATTCTTGATTGCCCGCTCCAGGTTCAAAGGACAGCCGATCCGAGCACTTGAGCCAACGTCAGGCTTCGGGTCAGGTGCAACAGCGTCGGCAGCAGCAGCTCCTTTCGATTAAGCGATGCATTTCAAAGCCTTGACATTTACTACTGTCTGAGCATTGTTTCGTAGATGTTTTTCTTTCTCTGTTTTTTTTTAATTTTTTTATTTTATTTTTTTTTTTTTTGGTAAATTAACTACGTAGAATTATAGACTGTTACGACTGGCCGAGGAACCTGCCCGCTCGCTCGCTCGGCCTGTGGCTGGCCGAAATTGTTTACGACTTTCGCCAGAACAAAGGGAAAATCATGCGCGACAGCAAGTAACAGAAAAAAAGAACAAGAAACGCAACCAAGTTCCACTTATGAAGCCATAAAATGGACACACAAAAAAATAAAATAAAACGGGCAGCAGCCAACGACCCACTAGTTCTTTATCGGTTGCTTAAATCGAGGGCAGCACTCGCTGCTGCTGCTGCTGCTCCTGCTGGTGCTGCTCCTGCTGGTGCCGCCATCACAGCTGATGATCAAAATTGTTGATCGAAACCCTCAGGGGTAGGTCCTGAGTGCAGCCGAATGCAATCGTGGCAGGTGAGAGTGTCGACGCTTTCACTCCTCTCATCTCAGCAGCCTGCGATACGTGGCCATTTTTTTTCTTCTTTTCTTTTTTTTTTTTGTGTTTGATGACTTCATTCGTTTCTCGTTGCCTTTCTCTTGGCAGCAGCAAGTGGAATGCACCACTCGAACGCTGCCTGCCCGCGCTCTGTCCGTCCGTCTGGTGCCTGGTCCGGGAACATGTTGACCCTCTCTGACGGTTACATGTGCATCCGCCAGATACAAACACGAATCCGCTGGCTGTGTATAAAACTCGTAAAATATGTGCACGTCAACGCGCTTCGTGCTGCCTTTTGTGCAGCCATTATTGAATTTCTGATTGTGGCTTTCTACTCGCATGTCTCCATCGGACCGACCAACTGATGGACGGACGGACCGACGGACCGGTTCGACTTGTTATCTCCAGCCCGCCTCGTCGTTCAGCTGGCTAATCGAACAACCGCTGGAACGGGTGTAGAACCCTGGGCTCTGCATGTATCCCCACTCCAGCGAATACCGTCGAACCAGCAGTGGCCTGCGCTAAAGAATATGTGGTCAAAAATTACATACAGAATAATCGCAGTTTGATGAAATTGAAGGAATCAAAATTAGGCAACGATATTAAAATATATTTGTATATATTTTACTTGATAGGAGTCACATCCTATTGCTTATTCTCATGTTTTGACTCCCATTGTACTGAGTCTCAGTTCTTTAATATACTATAATAGAATAAAATACATAATATTATAAAAACTACAATCATATATTATAAGATTCCTGAAATATATATGCATTTTTTGTACATGTAAAGTTCCAAAATTCTCATAAATAGACTATGGTTAGCAAAAGAGATTTAAAATCTGTCAATTCATTCCACTGTACTTCAGCTCCTCAATATTATCAACTCCATAAGGGTCGAAATTGAAATTAGCTTGAGGCTCTCTTCGCCATTCAGCTGAAATTCCATGAACTGACGATATTTCGGATGGGGCTCAAGGGTGTTGCTGTCCGTTTAGAGGCACATCACGTAGCAAGGGGACAAGGCATTCAGAGAAAAGAACAGCACTGCCGGGCCGATATCATATTAAAATGTTAAATTTATAATTCAATTAATATTGTCACCGTAAAATACGCGCTGACTGTTAAAGACGAATCGAATGAATCGAAGACTCTTTCGACACTTCTGTCTGGCCTCTTAAAAGGAATACATAATATATATCCACTTGTAATCAGATACATCCAGACACATCTGTGTATTGTATACTTAGTACGTATGTTTGTATAAGCTAACTACATGCGAATCTCGATAACTGTAACGAGTGTATGTGTGTGTGTGTGTGTGTGTGTAGAAGTTTGCGTGTATCTGTAGATACGAACCACGAGCTGCGGGCCACGGAGCAAGACTGAGTGGGAGTAGCGGGTGGCGAGGGAAGGCCACAGTAAATTGAGGACTCATTGAGTGAAGGCAACGACCCAAGAGGGATCGATATTATGGCAAGCAGCACACGCGTTCAAAATAGCGCCACCCTCCATTCTCCATCCTCCACCCTCCACCCTCCACCCGCCGCTCTCCGCTCTCCACTCTTCACCCGCCACCCTCCATCCTCTAACATCTGTCGTATTGGGGTTGTGCCGGGTATGTATCTGTTTGTGTGTGTATGCTGAAGCATGAAGCGACAGCGTCAGCAAAAACTGTTTTCGAGCTCGGCTGAATACCGTCGGCTGTTTGGCAGCTCGACAGGTTTTGCTTCTTTTTTTCTGCTGGGGGTTGGTTGCTCATGGTTTTTGGTTTGGCTTGGTTCAGTTCGGTTCAGTTCGCTCTGCTCGGCTGAATTTCAGCGGCCATGCCATGCCGGTTTTGTGTGTTTCCCCCATTTTCCGTTTTCCATTTTGCTGAAATCTTTGAATGCTTTTGACTTTGCTTATCGCGGCTACCCGTCGCTTCTGGGGGTTGTTCAGTTCAGCTAGTATCCAGCAGCGGCGGCTGCCGTCGTCGTCGTCGTCGTCGTTGGCGTCATCACAAGTATGGGGGAGGGGCCGGTTTGGCATTGGCCTCCACGTTGATATAGCACAGCTGAAATTAACCTTTAGGGAGACGAGCCCGGGATGGAAGGAAAAGGGAGACGCACGTTATTTGAATAAATATTTTGCTGACTTTGGCTGCTGTTGTTGATTCTACTCTTGCTGACGAAACGGGGCAGCCATATTGCAATGGCTATGTGTGTGTGTGTGTTGTGTGTCTAAACGAACAAGTTGGCCTCGCTAGATGTGTGTCTGTGTGTGTGTGTGGGTGTATCTTTCATAGCTTTTTGGCTATGTAACTACTTTATGTGTAAATTATGCTTATGTAAATGAGCTAGTCGCTTTGTGCTGGCTGTTCCCTTTAAAACGGGAAAAGGGAGAAGGGAACAGAGAAAATAGAAGTTAACAGATTCCCCTTGGGGCTGCCTTTTCCAGAGCAAACCAAGCGTACAGAGCAAAGTTAAAGCAACAAAGTTTCAATCGACCCCTCCCGCTGTGCGAGATAAGAAAATGCAAAGAAAGTTGGCAGATAGAATAGACAACAAGCTGAGAAGAAGAACACGAGAAGTGGAAGAACGAAAAAAAAGAAACAAAATAAGAAAACAAAATTGATGATTTCACTTATTTTGGCAAAATGAGTTTTATGTCCTCCGCCGACTCCCGCTTAGTTTCCATTTCGGCTCACTGAGGATTTTGGATTTAAGTCTCGGGAATTTGGGCGGTGGAGAGAGTTTAAAATTAAATTAAATCTAACTAAAAAATAACAGTCGGACGCAGGCTACCGCACAATGCCCGCCGAATGTAAAGATAAACTGGTTTTATATGCTGCTCCTCGCTTGAAGGGCAATTAATTTGCTATAAAATCTGAATGACATCTTTTTCGCCTAGCACACTTGGCTCTCCCATTATTTATCACACATTAATACGAGTGCAGATGCGAGATGCGAGAAGCGAGATGCGAGACGATGATGGGCCTAACTGGTGACCAATTTAATGCCCATAAAGGTGAAATTACCATCTTGTTAGTTTGGAACACAGAGTAATTAACACCTTCGGGCCAGCCAGTGGCCATAAACGTAGAAGCCAACAAAGCATTAACAGCAGCCCAAATTGTAAATCAAATAGCTACAAAACATTTCCCACTTATTGCAATAATAATCATTCCGTCCGTACGTCTGTCTGTCTGAAGTCAATCTGGATTCATGTTGACTGCATTGGCTATTTGTGTAAAAATGTAAAACTTTATTCATTGTGCCACTAATTGTTTTATAATATTTACTTACGCAATTCGCCGCCGTTACTCAATAAAAGCGTGGGAACCATCTGCACACCTCGGTAGAGATTTGTTTGCCAATAGGTGCTAAAAAATCGGTCGTAAATCCAGCTCTACAGACCTCGCATATTAATGGCGCTGGCCCCTTACAGAGGAGACAGTACGTGGAATTGGAATTCTTCGCGAAGCGATCGAAAATTGATACTGAAATTGAAATGAGCCCAGCGACGCGATTGCCCACAAGTGCGCCCATTTTTATAACTGTCTGCCCTCGCATCGTGTGGGCTATAATAAAGCGGTTTATATGCCTGAAGGTCGTTCAAGAGATGAGTGACTGGCACTAGCCGTGGCGGCGATGCAATCGAGAGAGATCTATGCCATAAGTGCCTCAGAACTGTTCCGCCTCGAGCCTTGGCTCACACTTGACTCCGTTCTATTACCATTTCATTCAGATCAGCCAACTGCTGCTGAGCCATAAAGCGCTAAAGTGTTCTTTTAATTTAGGGCTTGTTTACTTTTATTTGTATTTTCATTTTTATTGCAATATACACGAATACGTGTGTGTATGTGTAGTACAATCTACATACAATTACTTGTCGCATGCGACTCACTCAAAGAGTTTGACTAACTCTCTGGCTGGCTGTCTGACTGTCTGGAAGGCTTTCCTTGCCCTTCGTCGGTTTGGCTGTCGTAAAACGCTTTGCTGGCAATAAAAGCAGTTAACTAGCTAGATTTATTGTACTAAAATATTGTTTAAGTGCACAGTAAACAAGAGCAACAGCTACTTCAGCAATTACTACCAGGTATAGTTAGTCAGGAACAGATAGACACGGTCGGACACACTCTTATTTTGTAGGTGCTTCACTCGGCTTTCTAATTGCTCAATTGCCGCTCGTTATGCTGCATAAATAGACGTTAACAACTTTGTTTTTATTGTAACACATAATTGTTGTTATTGTAACACCTCATAAAATGTACATCATTTGACTAACAATTTATGGAAGAAATTCGACTATTTAGATTTCTTCTGATATATTTACCAATATTTTGATAACGATCAACACCTTTTGTGGCGTAGCTCAATCTCAGTCAAACTGTAATCAGAAATGTTTTATTACAT